TTTTTATATCTTTTTAAAGAACAACCTTTCCTCTACTCAAATCCAAAATATCAAGAAATTCGCAACATGTCCGGGCAGGAAAAATTGATATTCAAAAAGTCTGGTAAATTAAGAAATTTTTTACTCGCAAACTTGTCTACATTTTGACTGCTTTTTATGGTTTTAAAAACGAGCTTGCGAAGTCAAAATTTACATCCAGATGTTTATTATTATCTGTCATTTACGATTATGAAGTCGACTGATGTTTTTATTTACTTTAAATTCATCAAATAAGACGTTTCTGAGAAGGGATATTCACGCGATGTTTTTGTCAATTTCAGCCATTTTTAGTCAGTGTCAGGTTTTTCTAAATTTCTCGCGTTTAAAATAAAATTTTCGAAAACAAACCCCACCATGATTCTTAGTATATAATAGGGTCTCGATGGTTAAAATATGAAGGATTTTGATTTTTCATCATGTGCCGCCCTTTGCTCGGTGTTAGTGGACATTCGTTCTTAAGTCTTATCGGCGGTGGATTTGAACTCTCTGTACAATCCAGGGTACGACCGTGTTGTTGTTGAACGTTGGCAAAAATACTCAATCCTGCCGGGCAGTTTATCCTAACTCTGAACCACATTAGGATTTTATCAGGCAAACTGAATATCAGGTAATGTGTAAAATTTTGGCTGTAATTTTGTATTAATTAAACCTAAATTTGATGATTTTTGCCATAGCCAAAAACTCAGTTGAAATCTCAAATATTTGTTTTTCGGAACATTCAGTACGATGCGAGCAATGCCAAAAGAAATTTTTAAATGCTAATTACACCCCTGGCATTGATTTGCGCACCAAGTCCACCCCAAATTTGGACTCGTCGTCCAAAATTACATAATTAATTGGGTGGGGGTGTTAATTTTGTATTAATACAAAAGCCAAAACCTCAGTTGAAATCTCAAATATTTGTCTTTCGGAACATCCAGTTTACGCGTGCCGGCATTATAGCATAATGCCCTCGATTCGACTACTAGACCCTATCATTTAGATATAGCACCGCGATGTTCTTGAAAATTGGTTTGTTGAATAATCACGATAAGAGATAGAGCAGTTTAAATTTCGTCTGTAATTCTTTATAAAACGTTGCCTTGGAAACTGGGTGTTTCTCACTAAAACTTCATACACAATTTAAGATTGTTTTCGGAACATCCGGTTTCCGCGAGCAACGTTTACCGTAGCATCTCTTTTTGACTGTTCGCCTTGACTTGAAGAAGAACAACTGTCAATAAGGTAAGATTGGTTTAGAGCGGATTTCGTATGAGTGGGACACCGTTACCGCACGGTTACCGCACAGTTACCGCAACTGGCCTGCACAATTTTGGTGAACCACAATGGGGCACTAGAATTTGGTTACAGTACGATTACGGTCACATTTCAGTACCGTCCGTTTCCCACTCATACGAAATCCGCTCTATACAAATGTAGCAGTCTGAACAGCTGTTTTTGCAAGTTTACTATGGTACTTCTTATTTTGTTATCGTATTTCTTATTTTGTTATTGTTGATTAAAAAGCGTGCATAAGATGGTAAAACGTAAGCTACTGCTAAGATGCAGTGAGATGTCAGATTTTTTTGCAGTACTTTTTAGGAGATTTTTTAAATTAGATTTTTTGAATTCCTATGAGTGATTTTCGGTCAGATAAACCTTCATCCCAAACAAAAAATGGTTTAAAAAATTATTATTAAAAGTTTTGTTTGGGATAAAGGTTTATCTGAAAATCACACATAGGAATTTCGCTGTAAGGGGTTGAACGGTTAGGGAAAAATATTTTTTGAGTGCGAACGTTTGTAAGCCGCTCAGAGCGGGAGTTGCAAACCTTTCCTAAATACAGTGGTCGCTTACGAGAACGTTCACACAGGTAAACCCAAACAATGATAATCACAACACAGGAGGCCAAAATAGTTCAAAACACGTTGTTCGTATTTCAATTTATAAAACCTTTGAACGATTCTACTGCTTTACTAATTATTTTATCATAGTCATGGTTAAAATATGTAAACAACACAACAGTGTGACAACAGTATCTAATGATACAGCAAGGGAACAATAACGATAGTCATCTTGGACAACGTACAGTACATGTTTTGTCAAATACAGTACGTGGACGTTTACTGTGTATTAATTAAACATTGTGTGACAGATGCTTGCTTTACAGCCGTTACGGATAACACGTAGGGAGTCGAACGAAAAATCCTACTGAATTCATGCATATTACAGATAATCATAAACATTTCCATGACTACCATTGGATAGCTCCTCCCCCAACATGAGTTGGTTTCCTTGAATATCGAAAAAACTAGCCAAAAATGGTCAACATGGTCAAAACGTTTTAAAATTCTATTACTTTGAASCATTCGTTTCGAAAATACAGAGACTTTACATAAATACACTTGATGTCAGAGAACAGCTCGGGAAATTGTGCTATTAAACGTCTAATAATCAGGATATCTGCGGCTATATGCAAGAAATACCAACATGAATCGATTTAGAGCATTCAATTACTGCCCGAAAGGATATAATATGATGAAATACGAATAATATTACCTGTCAAAGACTGATGTTTTGACTTTCTTCTAGGTGGATCACTGACATTAAGTATGTATTTGTGTAAAGTTTCTGTATTTTCGAAACAAATGCTTCACTAACACACAAAGTACTACAAAATTTCTGAAATATACTTAGCCCTCTCCGTTTGAAGAATTATCACTAGTACTCTTCAACGCAAAGAATTTGAAAACGCTTTGACCATTCTTGGCTAGTTTTGTCGATATTCGAGGAAACCAATTCATGTTGGGGGAGGAGCTATCCAATGGTAGTATTGGAAATGTCTATGATTGACATCTATAAAATGCATGAATCCAGTAGTGTAAAAGAACTAGCTACTTGAGAAGAAGTCGTAAACAGACGTGATATTGAAGAGGAATGACTCGTACAACTTAGTTAGTCGGCCGTGTGCTCTAAGCCTACTTTAATGCGCATGCTTAATCATGTACACAGGGAGCCTATAGTATTACATCTCCCCTTTTTACAAGTATGACATACTAAAACAATAAAGYAATGTAAACATGAGTTAGTAGTAAACTTTTGACTACTAAGTTCAATAACAAGTTCAACAGTTCAAAGGTTGTGAGCCAACAAACAAGCTCAGCTTGGTAGGAGGCTTGACAATCCGCCCGCTCCTAGTCGCTGTAACTGTGGTCCCTGCTTCTTTAATAGTAGTAGACCTGTCTGTAGTGTCAACAGTTGTTTGAGAAACAGGAGGTTGTGGCTGGATGTACTCCTGCGCTGGCTGTTTCTCTGGTATGGTTGGTATGGKCTTTATGTGGATACGATTCCGTCTTAACTCTGACCCATTCGAGGTCTTCACAGTGTATGACCGCGGTTCATCTAATTTCTCTTTGACCTCAGCCGTGGTCCAAGTCTTTGACGATGGATTGTAGACGGCGACAGGTTGCCCTGTTGACAAGCCGCCTAACTCTCTTCTGTTCTGTGCATAGTTTTGACGCTGTATTTCCTGTCGCTTTTGCAGTTGGAGTAAATCGTCGTCGTTGCTTTTCATTCTTTGGATTCGTCCACTGGATGGCAACTGGGTTCTGTATTCCCTCTGGTTGAGCAGTCTCGCAGGCGCTTGTAACTTGTTGTCGACCGGTGTGGTGCGATAGTTTAATAATGCAATGT